ATTCTCTTAGTTTTACCTATATAGAACATGCCATAGATGCATCTTAGAAGATATATAACCCCTTTGGTTTCGCAATTGGCAAAATGTTTACATTTCACTCTCTGCCCATTTGGGGTGATAATTTCAGTTCCCGTTTCAATAAACACACAGAACTTACATTTCTGACATTGGTAGTTACCTGGGTATTTGCAGCAGAACCGTTTTTTATTTTGAACAAACTCACTAGAGACTAATTTATCTTTCAAGGAGGGACATTTTTTGTAGACTATAGTTGGTTTGGTTTGAATGAATTTGGAAATTCTCGAGTCCTTTGTTAGGCAGTCCCAGTGTTTAGTTAATATGTCTTTAATTACTTGATGTTGGTTGTTATACGTAAATATTAGTCTAAGTGTGTCATTAAATGTGGTATTTTTTTCTTTTTCTATTTTGTTTTTATGAACCCAAGTGGGTCTATAATTGACCTTGGTTTTATTGTAGGCCCTTTGTAGAATTCTGTCCGAGTAGCCCCTCTGTTGTAACCTATATCTTACATTTTTGGCCTCAAATTCAAAGTCTTTATCCAGGGTGCAATTCCGTCTTATTCTTAAATACTGTCCATATGGGATACTATTTTTTAAGAATTGTGGATGAGCACTGCTGGCTTCTAATATGGAGTTCCCAGCAGTCTTCTTTCTAGATAGTTTAGTGTACAAAGTATTTGTTTTGCTTTTACAGACGGAAATATCCAGAAAGGGTAACTCAGATTCATTCATAGTCATGGTGAATTTTAGATTGAGATCGTTGGAATTAAGAATTTCCACAAAAAAAATATATGAATACACCTGGCTTTCTAAGCGGCATGTCTCCCAATTGACAAGGAATTTTCTCATTAACCCACTCATTTACTTACCGGTTCATAGGCGGTATGCAGTCATCAATTTTTGTATATATATTTATCTGTCTGTTGTGTATATATATTTATCTGTTTGTCTGATTAATATATTTTTCTGATTTTCTGTGTACGTAGAGTTTAAAATTATAGATTTTTATTGAATAAATACTCTTTTCACCATTTAATTGTCACGTAGATTGTGTAAAGAATGGTGGGATCCCCTCTCCCTGGGGAAAACTTCTTTTTCTAAAAACTTTTAATAGTTAGGGGACCCCCATTTATATTAATTATATTGGAGATATTGTGCATATACCTTCCCTTCCCCGTTTTATTGTTAAACTGTAATAATAATCATTAATTTTCCAGCTATCTTTCATGAGCTACATAATAATTTCCCTCTATATAAGGAGAGGGGGATGTTTTTATACTTCAAATTGAAGGGTGACAACGCTGGGGACATGTTGGACTGCAGATTTTACACAGAGAGGTCTTCAGCTGTAGCTTACAGCATAAGTACATGTTTTTTTTTCCACTGCTGCAGCAGATGCATTACAAAGAGAAAAGACAAATGATGGAATAGTTAGTGTTTTGAATTCATTGAGAGTTTTTAGAGTGACTTTGATTGCATTTTAAAAGAATGGAAGGCATAGGAATGACTTGCTTTGTACGTTGCTGTTCTTTTATTGTCCAGTCAGCAGGTGAGGTGTGTCTTGGATCAGGCTGTATTGTTTATTTGCACTGTGAATTTTGATAGGGGGGGATCTCAAGACTGCAGACTCTCACACACGAGCTCATCTATGTACTTACTCATCCAATCAGCACAATCAGTTTGTTAGATTCACAGCATTGTGCAATGCATTGAGGCCTGACTGTTCACAATGCTGTCCATTCCTCTGCCAGGCTGAAAGCTGGTGTGCAGGGAATCACCGGAAGCAAGTACAAATACAGGCTCAGGTACCATGACAACATACTGTACATGCACAAATTTTAATGAATGCATTACCCAATCAAATGTCTTTAATATTTGCCTACACATAAAAATCTTAGAGGACCTCCCACCTCATGGAGGCATACCTCAAAGAGTGGATGTAATGGAAAGTCTTTGCAGCTGTTAGAGCTCTGAAGAACCTAGGACTGGAGACAGCCGGCTGATCCTCCAGATACAAGGTAGCACGTTCTCCACCAATGTTGTACATCTGAGGTAAAGGCAGAAGACTGCGTGTCCTCAAAAACAGTGTCATCAGCGAGAGACTGAGGGACCTCATATCAGAGATGTTCAGTGCAACTGATGGCCTTGCTGCCTTAAAGGCAGCGAGCAAATCAGGAATAGACTCTTCAGGGGAAGGGCACAAGAGCATGTTCAGAGCCTCTGCGGCCAACAACCAGTGGGGAATTGGGTGAATTTGGCCACAAAGCCTTGTGCGACTGCAGTAGGGACTCTGAACAAGGCAGAGGCCTTGGCCTCACCTAGCAGAGATACAGAGGAATCCAATGACATGGTGGATCCTATAACCAGTCACAGAATTCCAGACGTCGGTTCCTTCAGAAACAAATGTCTCCAGAACCATTAGAGAAGTGTGAGCGGGGTGACCCGTTGCAGTGGGACTGTCCCCCTCTGTGTCTAGATAGAGACATGTTGCAACTGCATGGCAGTGATGCAACTAAGCTCAGGGTACAAGGCAAGGCCTCAGAAAACCCAGACAGCTGGTAGCCAGTGAGGTTCAAATGCCCAGAATTGACCAAAAGTATTCAGTGGTTGCAACAATGAGGTAGCTCCACATGAAGTGCTCAACCCCATCCACCTACTCACAGAGTAAGGCTTTACAGACTTTGAGCAACTTTGTTGAAGCATTTAAAGCACCCTTCAGCGCCTGTCACTTTAAAGACACATCTTGCAGGTTATATTAGGTCTTCAACAAAAGTTTCAGGTAGTTATAAAGCTCAGTGAAGCCTGCTTGCAGCTTACATAGAGACAGTCAGCGCTCCCACTAAAATCTCTCTGCATACTGGATCTGAATGGTACTTTAAAGGCTTGAAGCTTACCAAGTGCTTTGCACATGTTTACTATACACCCTTCTCTTATACAAGCTGAAGCCTATATGAACAATGCTGAACATTTTAGCATGATCTGTGGAATGGTTTGATTAAGCAATAGATTAATTGAATATGCCAGCCATATGTTTTGAAAATGACTTCCACTACTTTTTAAAACTAATAAAGCTGTATGTGCAGAAGAAACTGATTAAAGCTTTGGACCATAGTCTCTATATACTTCAAAATGGGACAAAGTAAAACCATGTGCGCATGTGCAGAAGTTACATTCCTGGCTGGCTATTCAAGACAAGCTTAGGACTCTAGATCCATGCATTAAATCCACTTTAAGATTTCAGAAGATTTATAGAGATAGGGAATGCTCAACATCTAAAAGCCATCATCTTCTTGTGCACATATATCATATCTTCTACACATGGGTAGAAAAAAAAAAAAGTTGAGTGGCACGAGGTTGCTAATAATGGGGATAAAGATTATTAGTCCCAGGGTTCCGAAATATTGGCAATAGGTTTGTGTTTGTGTATACACTGCCTGTCCAATAATAATAATTTTTTAAAAAAGTCACACACACTAATATTTAATTGGACCACCTTTAGCTTTGATTACAGCGCACATTCGTGGTTGCATCAAATCCATAAACTTGCAATGTCACATTTATTACATCCAGAGCTGCATTCATTTTTCACCGAGGTCATGTAGTGATGATGGGAGAGTCTTCTCCAGCACATCCCAAAGATTCTCAATGGGGTTAAGGTCTGGACTGTGTGGTGGCCAATCCATCTGTGACAATGATGTCTCACTCCCTGAACCACTCTTTCACAATTTGCTGAATCCTGACATTGTCCTCTTGGAATATGTCCATGCCATCGGGGAAGAAAAAAATCCATTGATAAAAAAAAACCTCGGTATATTTTCAGGTAGCCAGCTGACCCCATTTTTGGAGACATAAACTTGCTGAACCTCACGCAGGTGGCGACGCTGCAGGGTAGCGCAACTGCAAGGGTAAGTTTTTATTTGCCCAGAGATCTTTCATTCATTGTGTTTGTAGCCCTTATGAAGTTGCTTTCTAAACCCCCCAAAGGTGCATTGGCAATATTTTTAAGCCCTGCAACCAAAACTTGAACTGGACAATCAAAAGTCTTGGGCTGCACTCTTCTTTTTACAACTCATAGATGGGTTTTTTTCCCCAGTGGATCTGGTTGAAGAGGAACTCTACTGATTTCTTCAAAATAACAACAAAAGCGCTTTTAGAGATGTTTAGTAATGACAATCTACAAACAGAACCTTACAGATAATTGCCGGCTTTGTATTCTTTACATACCTTATTTTTCTTTTCCCCTCTACTCTTCTCACAGTGGCCATGTTTACTAAGAGCAGACAAATCCCTCTCCGTTTACTTCCTGCAACTCTGGCACATCATCTCAGGGGAGGAAAATGCTTTTCCCTGAGATCTCATGAGCTTTCCCAGCAATGCTCTGCTGATGTAACCTTCCCAGCAACAATTGGGCACATTACATCACTTTTGCCAAAGAGAACCAGGAAGTAGAAAACAAGAAATTGTAAGTAAAATAAAAATGTTATTTTTACCTAATGAATGTAAGTTGATTTCATATCAGGATGCAGAGATGTATGTGGATGTGAATGTTTAGCCAAAGGTCCACTTTAAAGATCATGGCCCATGGAGAGCTCCAGAGAGTCCAGCAACCTACCACCTATTACCATATCTTCTGCATATGGCTGTCGCATTGGAGAACAAAAAACACACAAACCCTCTTTTGGCTCAAAAACTATAGTGTCACAATGGCAGGATATGAATTAAGATGTCTGACCTTTTATTCACCTTTAATTTTGTAGAATTGATTGCACTTTTATAAAAACAGTTTCAAGGTATATACAAAAACAGCAGAAGAAATCCAGAGGGGAAAAGATCAGAAATAAACACTGCTGAAATACAGTAAGACAAATAAATAGACGTCGTCCACATCTTTTTCATTCTTTTCAAGTCAGTGGTAAGGAAAACCCGTCTTAAATAGCCATGCGATAATCCACACAAGAAAGCTGCCACTCTCCAGCTGCTGGCCTTTCTACTAGCTCTACGTAGATGCTGCCATTTGCTAAACCAGACATAGAATGCAGCTTCCATGTGAGGCTTCTCACATGGGTATTTTGCTTTGTGACAAATTCTCTAAGGACCCTCTGCAGTGAGAGGGTGTAATCTACAAATCACATTCCTATGAGACGATTCCCAATTGGTGCTTCATTCTTTGAAGTCGAGGAACTGCTGCAGCTTTTTCCGGTGCTCTGTGGATACTGGAATGGCGCTGAGTAACAACAAAAGAGCCATTAGTTTAGATCAATAAAAACTATGAACACATTCTAACAATAGTATTAAAATAAAAAAATAAATCCGTTTTTCACTATTTTTAAGCCATGGGTGCTTTTTTTTTTTACCATCAATATTTATCATTCAGTTTGTTAATTTTTTTTTATCGTTGCCGGGGGGAAAAAAAAAAAGCACCAATTCAGAGATGATTTGAGGATCTACAGCCGAGTGATACACACATAAGATACAGTATTGTTCATAGTTAGGGTATGTGAATTAATTTTTAAGATTTAACTCCTGAGTTTAATAATCACTAAGTTTTATTGCAAGACAATATTGCCAAAAGAAATCCTAGCTTTACAGTCCCGTCCCGTCCCCCCCCCAAAAAAAAAAACCCCCTTAGGGCCTGTTCACATGAGATCAGGTCCTGATCAGCAGACGTGGAGCTGATGATGCAGTGCGTTTGACGCATTTTCGGTCCGGATGCTGACAGTTCATTTTTTTTTAGCCAAGGGGCTGTCAATATGCAGATTCAGCCTCTGAGGTCACTTCCGCCCTCTCGGAACATCTACCTCCCTTTGTGTATGTAAAGCTGGTGATCAGACATGTATCACATGTTTGCACGCATGGTGCTGGCTACAGCAATCTGCAGAGAACGAGCCCGCAGGAGACGTCGTTATTGGGTACACCCGATCTTGAGGCTGCGGAACTCCAAGGGTCAGTTCTGGAGTTTGTATGAGGATTTGCGAGGTCACCCGGATACATTTTTTTCCTTTACTCGTATGTCCATGGCAAGGTAATGGGCATGTTCAAAATGTTTGCAGTTCATGTCGTTACCTCTACCCCAACCTGTCTGTCTATCGTTGATAACATCATATTAAGTGGAGCAAGAATACAATTTTTAATTTTTTTTCCTTAGCTGCGTTGCGTTTCCGTTCTGGTAGCGTTTCCGGACCGGACAAAATGTGACCTGCAGTATTTTTTCTGTCGTAAGCTGAACGGACTGCGCACGTGAGAACTGGAGCACATAAAACACATAGGGATACATTGGGATGCATTTTGAGTGCAGCAGCGTACGGATCCGGTCAGCACACAAAACGGACGTCGTGTGAACAGGCCCTTAAAAACAATGTGTGTATTGCTTTCTTATCTCAAGTAAATGACAAAGGGATCTCTGAATAAACCGTCCCTGAGTGGAAATGTAAAGATTCTCTATAAAGGAGTATAAGGGTACGAGAGCTGACGTGGTTAAATACGTACTGTAAGTGCTCTCCAAACGTTGTGGTTATCCTATAGATTGCAGTCTTCAGAGTAGATCGCAGGGCAAATCTTAGTGTCTTATAGGAGGAATCTGCCAAACCCGATGCAGCTCTAGCAGGCTTGCTGGACACATGTGGGAGCTTAAAATGCTTCTCTACTGCCTGCAACAAACAAGTAACATTAAATCAGAGCCACAATAAATAAAGCTTCAGAACCTTCAGCCAAGCAGATAAATGCACAACATAAAACTACTTAAAATACATAAATGTGACCCGTCTTATTTGCCAAAGTACTGTATTTGCAATGCTTAGCAACCAAGACTTAGCCACAGCTAGATATTGCACCCCTTCCAACCCCCGCCCCCACGGTATAATTCTGGACCCACCAATGGCAGTAACCTGACAATGACAGTTGTCATTAACTCTCTGCTCTCTCCTCCCACCAGGTACCTCCCAATAGCAGCTGGTCAGCACCGTTTAATGCTGCAAAACCAAATTGGCAAACAGTGCTGCCCTTTCTTCTCCCAGTCAGAGTGCTGCTGTACAGGAGATTAACCGCTTGAAGACCAGGTGTTTAGATCCCCTACCTGGCCAGGCCATTTTTCAGTGTTCAGCGCTGCAGTACTTTGACTAAGGAGGCTGATAGTAAGATAGATTTGGGTAACATTTTTTTAAATGCTTTGTAAAAACTTGCTGTACACGGCTCCTATACAGGGTGACGCTCATGAGTACTAGGCAGTTATTAAAAGGTGACAGCAGAGGAGGACTGACCATTGTGCCTCTTACCTCTTGTAGATTCAGAAGTGTGGCTAGTATGTTGGACAGCGTCGTCTGCACCACCCCCATCCTGTCTTCAGAGAATGATGCCGCCACCAGATGGGACAACCCTGAAAAGACAAGACATTACCAGAGTTTAGAATCCAACCAACAAGTAAAAACATACTGCTAATACTATCCAGGAAACACTGCATCTGCCCTTCAGTGGAGATCACATGACTAATGCCCAGGCATTTCTCCACATGACCAAATGTTATGGGAGGCAGAGAAGTAACGATTTATCTAAGACGGGTATTTTGGGACTGCTTTTAAAAATCCACGTATTCAAAAGGATTTTCAGGACATAGAAGTATGCCTGCATGAGCGTAAAATGTCCAAGGAACAAGGTGTGCTTGCTTTAAACCCATGAAGGTAAACCTGGCCGGAGTTGGGCTTTTATGTACAGCTCTAAGAGTCTACTGTGGTCAGGTTCTAAAAATGCTCAGACATATTCTAGAATCTCACCTTCCAAAGCCCAGATATGGATCTGTGAATCTGCAAACACTTCCTGACTGGAGGCCTCTGGGTGCTGCAGAGACAATTATAATGAATACCATTAAGTGACAGAGAACACAGAGATGTACACACACGTACACACAGCTCCCCTCTCCCTCCACTACATCCCAGAGCAGTGAAAATCATCCAAAGATTGCCCTTTAGTTTTGTTACAGGTAATACACTAGAAGTATGTCGAATACACCCATGCTGTATTCCTGTTCCAGACCAGTGTACTGGAACATAGCAGAATTACTGGAACAGTATGACTGCCAGACAGGTAACGTTTTCAGAGGGGTGTGAGCAATGGTTACCCTTTGCATTTCTAAGTACAGCTTTCTTGAGAATAGATGTGAAAAACTATTTGTGTATAAATGTAACTGTCATTCAAACACATGGTGGGTGAGCATAGGACCGACACGAGTGCCAGCACACATATGGCTACTTTCGAACTGCCAATGCCAGAGCTGGCACTCACGCACCCATGTGCCTGAATGACAACTCATGCAAAACAGTCAAGCAAAACAAGGTGCGGCTTTCACATCTTCTGCAGAAGACGTGCCTCTAAACCTCTGTTTTTAACCTTGCGAGACAAGTTTTTTTGCATGTTGGCTGGTGAGTGTGCTGGGAAACTTTTTGCTATTGAATGACAACTCATAACACATAGAAATGACTAGAGCCTGACATGCACGCATTGAAACCCCATACAGATGTCTGAACCTGTCGTCATTAGCCATACAAAGCTTTGGAATGCAATCTAATCCTGGTTACATCGCCATTACGAAGAAAGTCTTTATAATAAAGGATGCAGTGCCAGCCTGTAAACTAACAGCATGCAACAGCAATGCAAAAAAAACAAGCAATGATTAACCACAAACTTGACGTACACATTAGACATTTGCAGGTACAATGAATATAGAAGTGCTACAAGCTTACCTTGCTGAAAAGATAAATGATCAAGACTCGCTTTGACAAGAAGTTTTTGATCTAAGAAAAAACAAAACAAACCTGTTTAGTTTGCCTAAATGTCATCACACCAGCAAGAATGTACCCAACAGAGGGAAGATTGGGGTGTGCAATTTACGTTGTAGTTTCTTATTCTCAAATTCACTGTAACACAACAGGCAACGTTTGAACCAGAATATCCCAAACCTTTCATCCAAGGGACACTTTGAACAGTAATAAATGTTTTAATTATTTCCACTGAAGAGGATAGATAGTGGGTTTTGTACATAGTAAAACAAATATTTAGTATTTTATGATTCTTTTTACATGTGTATCTCTATTTACAGCCTGTTGGGGGGGGGGGGGGGCGCCTTTTTACCGTGTGGGGGGGGGGGGAAGCCTGTTTACAGACCTTTCCATCTGCTGTGGTGTCCCTTTAGCTAACCCAAAGCTGAAGAGCAGTACAGTTGACATATTTAGAGGACACCTCCAGTTCCCTGGGTGCACTCAAATTTCTATGGTATGCCATGTTCGGCATTCCGTGGTAACGTGACCTGGTTTGCCCCCCCCTCCCTATTCTTCTAAGTGGTTATTAAGGTCAAACCCACCCATCAGAGTGAAAGGCTTATAGGAGCATTCAGGAGGCAAATCTATTTCATTACTGGCACCTGCAACGCGTTCACACTTACCTGCTCCAGTCTGTTTTGGTACCATATGAAGAAGAAACTGGGCCCTTCGCTGCTGCTGACAGGTCTGTGGCTAACCTGGGAGATAGAGGATGCTTCTGAGGCGCTCCGCTGGATATCCACATCTGCATATAAAAAGATAAAACGAGCACAATAAAATAGAACTTCTGTAATCATAAAATCCTTTTCTTGGTGCCCGATTGACACAGGTTCCACCCCCCTGTGATTATAATTATGATCGCATAACTGCTTTGTTACAAAATTGAGTCATGCTGGTAGCAAGAGGTGTTCTACCCTGGGTTGGTCTCCAATTTTTTGCTTTCCCAGTGTCCAATCCTCCAGAAGGTATCAGTATAATCTGAAGATTTAAGACTTCCTGTGTCCCGCAAAGGACTCCAAAAATAGGATTTTGCTTTCTCATCCATTAGGGTCATAGGAAGTCTTTCACTGCGGAATGTCCAAAAGCAGAAGCAGTCCCACTGAGCCGTGAACAGCCAAAAAAACACACTAACAGGTCCAAGAAAAAGAAGAAACCGGGAATTGCCTAAAGCTCAGAGAACCATCTGAAGGACCTTATCCCCAAAGCTGGCATCAGATGAGGCAGAAAGGTCCACCTGATAGGAACTGGAGAACATGTAAACAGAAAACCAGATGCAAGCTTTACAAATCTGGGAAACAGTTGCCTGATGCCGAAAAGTCCAAAAGGTGCTCCCAGACCTAGTGGATTCAACTTTAACAGGAAAAGGAGGAACCAAACCTTGCAACCATAAGCTTCAACGATGGCCTGTCCGAGCCACCTTGAAATGGTGGAATGAGAAGCAAGGGCGCCCTTTTCAGGGTCGATCCAAGAGGACAAAGAGGGTCTATCTAAAAGAAGCAGTAGCTGAGAGATGGACTTGGACAGCCCAGACCACATCCAGACAATGGAGAAAAAAATTATTTGAACTGGAGCCGGACAAAAGGTCTAAAAGGAACAATGTCCTTGTTAAAGTGACATTAAACCCTCATGCTGGGGGAAGTTCTCCCCCAGCATGAGAAGACATGAGGATTTAAAAGGAAGAGCAGCAAAGAGAAGGGAAACTACCATGGATTACAGTAAGGCGCACATTACAGTATTGGTTTATGTTAAAAATCTGAGGGTTTAATGTCACTTTAACCCCTTAGTGACTGACGACGTACAGTGTACATTGCAGATTGCATCACTTCCGGTCCCTGGGCTGTCAGTTCTGGGCTCCTGGAGCCCAGCTATAAGCTATTGAAGTGTGATCTGCACTTCAATAGCTTATTTCCAGTGTAAAGGTGACACTGGGGGTCTTTTGGACCCCCAGCATCACCTTAAAGAGTACCTGTCACCACCATCTGCTATCACATGGGGGGGCTTGTAGGCCCCCCCATGTGATAGCAGTCAAAGTAAAAAAAAAAAAAAAAAAAAAACAGTTTTTAAAATTAAAATGAAATAAAATAAATCTAATAATAATAAAAAAAAAATTTAAAAGTCCCCCGCCCCCGCGAGCCCGCGCGTCGCCACGTAAACACGCGTCGGGTGCGCCTACGTATGAAAACGACGAACGCGCTACACATGTTGGGTATCGCCGCGCACGCCGGAGTGAGAGCAATAATTCTAGGGCCAGTATTTTGGGGTATCTCTAAATTGATGACCTGTGGGGGCTTTTAAAAGCATCTTCTATGGACTTTTTGGGGTACTGGGGTTTTTCGCCGTTTTACGGATGCACGCAATTTGTAAACTGGGCATGTTGGGTATCGTTTTACTCCTTGTAACCTCATCTTTTATATTTCAATAAAAAAAATGGGTATTTTGTTGTGTTTTGGGGCAATTACATTTTTCACTAAATATTGGGGTTTAATAAGGAGTTGCGCTAATATTGCGCAACATAAAAATTTGCAACTACCACCATTTTATTCTATAGGGTCTTGGCATTCAGAAAATATATAATGTTGGGGGGTTTTAAGTAATTTTCCGGCCTAAAATGTGGAATATAACATGGGTACAAAAAATGAAAAAAAGGCCTCAGTCATGAAGGGGTTAAGGTGAATGGCAGAGACTACTTTAGGCAAGAAGGAAGTCATGGGCCTCAACCCTACATTGTTTCTATGCTAGACCAAAATGGGTTCTTTGCAAGTAAAGGCCACCAGTTCGGAGACTTCCGGTGTAAAAGCCACCTCTGATAGCAGACCATGTGGAAAGTGGAGTTCCTAGCCTTGAGCATTATTAGGAATGATGAACTCAGAGATGCCCCTGTACCTGGTCTTCAACAGCCCTGCCATTAAAGTGCATTTCCACTGTTGCAATCAAATTTGAGAAACTCCCCACCATATATTTGTTATGTGTTCCCTTTCACACAGTACACCTAAAACTAGGTTAAAGCCATTTCTTCAAAGGAGGCTTTTGGTCAGACTGCAGGATATTCTGAACAGTTTGTGAGTGAGTCTGTCCCCAAGACGAAGGGGGCATGCTGCATTTGCTTTCATTAACATGCAATAGTGGATATGGTTAGAACAGAGAGGGTTTAACAAGTAAAAGAGATGTCAGCACAGGATTCATTTGACCAAATATGATCTCCCCACCCAGCTCAACCACCTCATTGAGATTACAGCTAATAGAAAACCTAAGTATTGGAGCTTTTAGAAAAAAAAATACAAACTTTAAAATGTTTTAAGTTATGCTTTATGAATGGTAACAAATGTAAAGTAGGTATTATCCCAAATTGGCTGCAAAAGCAGAAATACAGCCAGGATGACCAACAGGCCCTTGGGACAGTAGATCTGAATGGTCTGGTAGGGCCCGCAGAGCATCTTTGAAAATCTTTCCAGAACGGCATACTTAATCACCCCGGGCCACTCTGGAGCAATGAGAATCACCAGAATGCCCTGCATCTCAATCCTGCGGAGTAGGCAAGAAAGAAGTTTCAAGTAAGGAAAGGCTTAGTTCAGGGTGTACTGATCCCACTCGGCCACCAGAGTATCCACTGCTTCCACCAGGGGATACCTGAACCAGAACACAAATCTGTCCAGTTTGTAGTTGAACCTGGGAGGCCCACATCCTTTGTCCCCCATCTGTAACACAGGTCCTGAAACACCACCTGGTGTAGAGACCACTTTTCCAGGTCCAAACGCTGCCGGCTGAAGAAATCTTCTGGTCATTTTTCTATGCCTGGAACGTACATGGCCGATAAGGCTGGAACGTGCAATTCTGAACAGGATAGGATCTGCTCTACCTCTCTTGCCGCAGCGAGACTTCTGGCACCTCTCTGATGTTGACAGCACCTGGAAAGCATTCCACAGCCAACTTCACCAGAATGGAGCGTGGAAAGTGCCCAATGCAGGCTAAACCCACAACATCCAGGAACACAAGGCAGACAGCTTCCGATTGCAGAGGAAACCACCCGCATGTAGAAAAGAGTCTTGAAAACAACTAGAGAAAAAAAAATTGCTACAAAAATCTCAGGTCTGTCTTTAACCACTACAGGATTAAGAACGTTGGAGATACAGCCTGAAAAACTGTTAGAGATGCGTCCTAATTACTTTAACATTCCGCTCCTCTTCCCCTGTCCCCACCGCTACTACTGGCAATTGCTAGCTGTCAAAATGACAGCTAGGATTTGTAGGTTCACTTTATTTCCATGTAAAGCAATATCAGGTGTTTTTAGGTATGGGAGGAGCATGCAACATGATTATCCCATTTACATATCCCATTGAAACTCAAAGCTTTGTAGACCCTCAATTATTTCATAAGTGCTTCAGGAAGAAAACAAAAAATAATATGCACGATCAACGACTGACACTCACCCGTACCACACGTCCAAAGCTTTGTACCTCTCCTGATAATGTGGGGGCTCTGCACTGATCCATGCCATGGAGAATTCTGGTCCTGGACAGTGGAGATATGACCCAGCACTGGGGAGGCAAAAGCACCGCCAGAGTCCCAAGGTCTTTTGAGAGCAGTCTTGATCTTTATAAGAGAAGAGATGGGTGTTCGAGAAACAGGAGAAATTTTCCCAGCCTGGTCAACAGATTCATTCAATGATGTGCCTGCAGAATGACAGTCAAAGAGGATTACAGTAAATTAAACGATAACAGTTTTGGGTCAACTTTAATAAACGTTTACGTTTTTAAACAGTTGTACGCTCTAATCTATCTTATCTATATTGTTTTTTGTTTAGAAATAAAAGTATGGAACCAATGTTCCATACAATGCAACAAGAGAGACAGATTCTTTGATTTGTTCAAATGTGTGCTACCAAGCTCAGTATATTAAACAGAGGAGCCAAGAAACATCAGAAAGGGAGCCAAGTGCTCCACCTGCTGGTTGCCTTTGGGAATATAAAAGGCAAGGCAAGGTTTCATATTTGCCCAAAGTGTTGGGGTGCAACACTATGCAATGGAGCCTTAAGAGCTCACATTGTTAACATCCTCAACCGGCCTGATGGGAAGCTAACACAACCATAGATTTCAAGTAGGTCTATTAGCAGTAGGTAATACATTTTGAGACATTTGAAACATGTTCCATTTGCTCTTTAGGAAGAGTGTTTATCCCGAGAAATGCGTCAGCTAGGCCTATTCTATTGCTTCTGCTCACATTATTATTATACAGGATTTCTATAGCGCCAACAGTTTGCACAGCGCTTTACAATATAAGGAAGACATTATAATCACAATACAATTCAAGACAAGATATTAAGGAGGGCCCTGCCCCTAAGGAGGGCTTACAATCTAATGGACAAATAACACAGTATTTCACGAGGAGAAGGCGCTGTTCTCTTTTTTTCTTCTTGCACATTTGAAACAATGTATAACAGGATTTAAGAGTCTGTTTTTTCTTAAAATATATTTTTTCTAGATTTTGAGAGTATTGTTTCTAGATTCCAGTTTGAGCACTCTATACAACAGGCAAGATAGACATTGTAATGATTTATTAATTAATATAATTGTTTTTTGTATTTGAAAAATTACAAATCGAAGTTCTAGAATAAATCTATGAAGAAGAAGATGACTACAAAACACAGACAGACATTCTTATAACAGCACCCTGTACCCAATGTGAAAATTCTTCCTTTACTGTGATATTCTGTTCGATTTGTAAACAGCAAAAAGCTGGTTTCCTTTTCCTCCAACATGGTAGGTGGTGTCAGACCCTCACTTTTATTCTCGTCTTAAGAGAAACTTAAACTCTTCACAAAACTATATTTTTTCATGAACACTGATGTTTTTATATCTAATCCCAGTACCTATACTAGGTGACTCCAATAGTATTACTGTGCAGCAGAAGATGACATGATACAATCCTGAAAGACAGAAGATATACCTGAGCTGCTGGATGACTTCCTCAACTCCGCTGAGGAAGGGAACCTCACGCGCCCATTACTTGCAGCAGCTTCTTGGTGAGCCACCAGTCTGTCAGTGAGATTGCTTAAGACACTCAGGCATTCCGTACAGATAGCGGTCCAGTTGTATGGATGACCTCCTGCAATAGAAAACAAAATGTTTCACAAACTTTTATTTCATTTGGATGAAGAAATGGAGCTACTCTGTTTTCATTACAGTTACCTGGTTGGCTCAGGCTGAAAACCTCCTGCCTCTGAGTTTTGGAATATTGAGAGAGCAGCACAAGATCTTGGAAGGCCAGATACTGGAATGACACAACATAGCACAACAGGAAACATTCATTACTAGCCTAGAGAAAAGCACCCCATACTTTATCCCACATTAAATTAGGTTATACTGATTTCCAACACTTTGGGTTGAGCCACCTACTGAAAAAATTTATAAATCAGTGTGCACAAAATAAACCAGCATGTGAGATTATACTGGAACATAAAAAGTCCATTAACCCTTTCGCTGCCAAGGACGTATGGCATACGGACCTACAAAAGTGCTTCCAGCTGGCCAGGTCAGTATGCCATACGGACCTGGCATTTACAGTTCTACTATAAGCTGATGGTCGCATTAGCGACCATCAGCTTATAGTATAACTGTTCAGCAGACTGTCCCCTTTAAATTAATAGAGGACACTAAACTGAAAATGAGCTTTTACATTCTATCCAGAAGGGTATGGCCCACAAAAGGGAGGCGCAAGCCCTTCTGCGTTTTGCCTAGTGTACATTCTCCTTAGGGGACAGTTTATACAGCTTTTACCCCAGAGGTCTGCGGTCTTGTCACCCAATTATTACACCTCAGGATTTATTAGAAGCTAACAAGCAAACTCAAATAAAATGAACAATTAAAATCAAGCCGTATCAAAAGTGATGATCTCCAGTGAATAAGACATGTACCAATTAAACTCATACCTTAAGGAAAAAAAAGACATATTCATGGGGACACTTTAAAACAGAGTTCCATTTCTAGGTCATGTGACCTAAACGCAGCAATCGGTCACAATCTGCAGCAGCCTTGCAATGTATGAGTTTATGTCAGCAGGCTGAATGCACTTTCACTGAAGACATTTGATTATATCAATATTCCAATGCAAGCTACTGCAGTTTTGAGCTACATGACCCAGAAAAGAACTTCAGAGGACCTGCTTAAAGTAGTATTAAAGGCTAATCGTTTAACTTAATGCATTCTCTGCATTAAGGTAACAAAATGATCAGTACCTTTTTGTGTTCCCCGTCCCCCCCCCACACTTACCTGTCAGCGCACTCACCGCCCCCGGTCCCCAAAGCGATCCTCCTGTTCCCCGAACTTCCTGGTTGTGGGGGAGGATAGTGAGGACAGAGGAGCCATAGGCTCCTTCTGCCATCAATCACCCTTTCAGGGAGGAGAGGAGGGGCATGGCTGCAGGGCTGCGTGTGTCTATGGACACACACAGCCACTGCAGGAACACGCACGGGTGCCTCTATAGCAGTCACTCAGCTGCTGGTGGCACCCGTGCAGGGGGCGAGGGGATGAGCGCTGCCGGTACCTACTAGAAAACAAGGAATAGAAGCTTTTTGAAGAAAAAGAACTGACAATTTATAAGAAGGTGGGCCTCCTACATTAAAAAAAAAAAAAAAAGCTGAAGCTTTAAATCTAATCACTTTAAATACAGCTAACAGGTAGGCTTGTTCACATGGCTGGAACAATATATAGCTGTCCCTAATGCTAAAAGTAGCTGATTTAACTCAGTGAAAAAGACCATATCTAAACAACCTTTACCTTTAAGAGTGAAGAGTTGCAGCTTAAAGCATTGGGAAGGCACATTTCTGCATCTTCAACAAAGGACGTCTGTATAGGAAACATTCGGGTCTGGACAGACAAAAGGACATTTTAGAGTTGTATTTGAACATGCATCATTTCCACCTTCCCCCAAGTGCAGCAGTGTGACAATCCTATACTACGTGGAGTATAAAGGGTCATGTAACTGGCTGGCACTTTTGTCAATATCTACCTGGAACTGTTGGTGCGCACTATACCTACTGTGGAAGATTTCCTCTCACTTCCTGCCAGGATAGCAAGTGATAGAAAACGTCTCCAATGAGGACCCAGGAAAACAAACACATTTTTAGTAGAATGGAGAAGAGTTAAAACGTCTGATAGTGCTTTTATTGCTGTTTGTGCTTTACTGTCCAGGTGACAACAAATACCCCCATTTCTTTGTAAAGGTGTCACAGAAACAGGAGATAAAAGAAAGTCTTCCTAACGGGGTCACAAGCAGACAGAAACTCCAACTTTTCTTCACTGCACTCAGTTGGCTTTAGTTAGCACATTGGCCTTATGACTGCAGCATAGGCAGTAAGTTTCTTCATGTACAAGGATAAAAAGACTATGGATGCAAGGTGCAGTGGAATATGTCAGCACAATAAAAAATTATGCCCCTGTCCTGGAAGATGACTGGGGAAATTATGCTCAAGTGATTGCCTCCATATGAACAAACAGTGCTAGCGCATACTGCATCTCTACTAACTACCCAATGAAACATGATGACAGTCCTGGCACTTACCTCTGTTGTGTGGATCTGGAATAGTAACCAGACAATGTGCCAGGTGACCAGCAGGAAAGTACCACACAACCAGATCTGGTAAAATAACGAGAAATCCAGGAGCCCAAGCAGAGAATCAAGTGGTGGTAACTGTCTGTTTAAAGAAGAAAAACAGAAGCACAAGCCTTATGAGCAATTCACAATTCAAATAATAAACCCAAGAGGTTTTCAAAGCAAGTCCAGAAATACTCACTGATCCAGATACAAGTTCAGGATGCCTTGAAACCATGCCCGTGGAATAGAACCTAAAAATAATAGCCGGGAGATACTTATGTTAAATCAAATTTACCCAAATCTATGTGTACATATGTACTATGATGAGTTAGTAACTTACTAACAGCATTTTATACAGAGTTCTTTTGTCTATATTACACAAGATATCAATTATATTAAGGCCTCATTCACACACAACGCAAGCAAAATTGTATATTGCGTATATATACACGAGCGTCTATGCGCGTATATACGAGCGTATATGCGTGCACTATTTGCATTCCCAGAATGCATAATTCCTAATGGAAATCTTAATGAACTGTACGCACATACGCGCGTGAAATATGCTGCCTGGACGCATCTCGGCTCCATTCTGTTTTTGCGCATATATACGCTACGGAAATAAACGGCTGAATACGCAGCTATGTGTATGGAGCCATTTATTTGCATATGGTGCATATGGTGCATATGGTGCATATGGTGCATATGGTGCATATGGTGCATATGGTGCATATGGTGCATATGGTGCAGTACGCGCGTATATGCGCAGCAGTGTGAATGAGGACACCTCATCACAAGTCTCCATGCAGTACATGCGGTAAAACAAAAATCACTTGTTTACAACCACACTTGTAATATAAATCAGACAGAAAAGATCATGTTAGCACTGTCATGACAGATCCCCTTTTGTACAGATGAGGTTAAGGGAGAGATTGATTTTTTAATGACTAAAAAAAAAAAAAAA